GAACCGTCCCCTGGTTCCTCTTCCCTTTTGCTAAACAATTGCAAAGACGTGATGGGAAAGGAAGTTGGCTGCTGCTGACAGCCAAGTTCTGGCTTTGACGTCTCTGTTTTAGACGTAGCCCCCCCCCCACACACACACACACACTTCTCCCGCCTGCAGACACAGTTGAGGGCGTAGGAGGGAAGAGACAGGTGTGACCCAAAGGAATGGGGTGGAAGGGTGCAGTTGGGAGCTTGCCCAGGCAGGGAGTGGCTCCTTGGCAGCCAGGAGCCGGCTCCTCCTGTGGCAAGAGCAGCGCCAAGCGGGTGTCCGAGCAAGAGCTGAGCTGCTGGGTGGCCCTCCGGCCCGGCCGCGCGGAAGGCAGGCCTGGCCCCACTGACCCCGGGCGGGCTGCAGCTTTTACTAGGGCTGCCAGATCCAGGCTGAGAAATAGCTGGAGATCTTGGGGGGTGGGGCCTGAGGAGGGTGGGGCTGGCGATGGGGTCGAATGCCACAGAGAGTCCACCTTCCCAAGTGGCCACTTTCGCCAGGCGAACTGTGCTTGGTCGCCTGGAGATCAATTGTAATCCCAGGAGATCTCCAGCCACCGCCTGGAGGTTGGGAATCCAAAAACAACGTCCGTGACAAAAATAACAGAGAGGCAATAAAGATATGTTTGCAAAAATGTTTCCCGTAGTAATTCTGTAGAAAATCCTCTTCTATTTTTGCTCACACGCTAACAAATGCTGCGCAATGTAAACAAATCCGTTTCACAGTAATTGCTTCATCTGACCGTGTAGCGATCACAATTCTTATCGATTTCTACTTATCAACTCTTGAAGGAAACATTCCATGTTGACTCTCTAATCACAGAACCCAAGGTCTTCACAATGTGCCGTTTTTTCCCTTGGGTCCTTTGTGGACGAATAGCATCCCTATTGGTTGCCTTTTGAACAGCCCAGGCTGCTCTGTGAACTTCACGCAAGCTGCAGCCTGCCTGGCTAGTAATTAATAATGGGGAGGAGAGCAGCGAAAGTTTGCCTAGGAAAAGCCCAGGGCGGGCTAGCTCAGCCAAGACTTGGTTTTAAAAGAAAAGGGGAGCACACCCATGGGTGGTCAGTGGGATCTGTGAGGTGGGAGGAGGCCATGGTAGCCCTGCTGGGTCAGACCATCCAGTCCAGCCTCCTGTTTCCTAGAACGCCCCCAGCAGGTGCACCAACAGGGCTTCTTGCCTGTGGCGGTATTCAGTGGTACACTGCTCCTGTGCTTGGAGGACCCATTTAGTCGCCACAGGCCTTGAAGTAGGACTGTTCCTCCTAGGAATTCGTCTTGGGGGACAGTGGCAGCACAGATGCTTTCATCGGGCCAGAAGAGAGGTAAGTAAAGTAACCCATCGTTCCAATGTTTCGAGGACACATCACTCTAAGCAGCTTCTCTTTGGAGGGGGATGCTGGGGTTGCCAGCTCAAGGTTTGGGACTCCCTGGAAATTGGGGGGATGAACAC